AGATTTGCCTATAACATAATAGCGCAAAATAAGGTAATATAATATGTTTCTCAACTAACATATAATATTATTTATGACTCTGACATAATTCAAAAATAAAACTTCAGCTTTCATAATAATTTCTCGGTTTCGCTTGTAGAATTTAATTTTTATGGAAATAAAAATAACTGTGAACCAATACTGTAGTTAACGCTTTAGTTTCCAAATACATTATATTTCAGTCACTASCAGTGTCGTCATTAAAACTATTGCTCTTTGATATTTAGAGAAAAGATATTAAATTTTATATAATATTTATTAAATCTAAGTTAAGAACTATTCAAGTTCATCATAAAAATATTACCATAAGATTTATATAATAAATCAAGATTTTGAATGATTTTCTCGTTTTTTTGGATATTTAATAAATTATATATCATACTCATACATATTGCTTATTAACGAAGGGTGTAATTGTTTGAAGTTCAAAAAATCAAGAATATGGTTCGARTGCGAAAGTCGAATCTAGTTTTCAAAAAACCAAACTGAACAGAACTCGAACAAAAAGTTCGAAATGCACTAATTAACCGTAAAAAATGWACGAATTTTATGTTTAGAACGGGTTAGGGTTTAATGTTTATCATATTTTTCGGTTTAAGCTCGGCATCACACTGAATTCTTTGGATCTTGATCAAAGTATATATATATGTTATATAGGTACGATACAAATTTCATTTGAGTTCGGTTCAACTAACCATTAAAAAGTTCAGTTCAGAGTTCAAGCCACACTTAGTGTACCCATATGGTATAGAAAGATAAATCGTATTTCGTGTTATGTACTTAAAAACTAATTAACTTCAATTTTAATTAAATCAAAATCGCACCCGTATCACTCTGTTTTATAGGGTCTGTGCTTTTTGTTCTAGATTATTATTAATTTTTTTTTTTTTTTTTGTAAGTCAATCTATTGACAACATTTTGAAATCTATTGTGTAAAGATATTGTGAATTTGAGTTTTGTGCTTCATTAATAAAGATCAAGACAACAAGTCAAAAATAAAATGTTATGTGCACAAGCATTGTGTCCACAAGTTGCAATAGCTGCATATATAGTGTGAAGCGTATGAGCAAACCATAAAATTATAGGTACAAAGCATACGGCAATCGTGCTGCAAATGGTTTACAATGATCAGAACCGAAAGACGTCGGATCAATCTAGTTAGTGTGCTCCTCGAAACGGCGTAAATGCTTAGATCATATTATTAGAATATATATACCTACGTATAAGTACGATGTTAAACGTTACGGCGATGACTGCATTGCACGTGCGTTGGCCTGGTAACGTTAACGTTGTTATGATAATAATTTATATAGATGTAAACGGGTGTCGTAACAAGCGTGTATAATGAGCGTATACCTATTAACAGTAACGCGCATAACATTATTAACTTGGTCGCCGCCGCCGCCGCCACTGTCGTCATTATTGCAATGCAGCCGCGTGTGTATAATTATTATAGTGTTTTGGCCACCGAGGAGAGAAGGTTATGTCACGGGAGCGTCTGGTCGAAAGGTGATTCTTCGACGCGTAGGTATGACGTGTAGAAAAACGAAAATTTTTGGCACGCAATTATTATTATCGTTATTAATATTAATCGACTCGACGACTTCCGCGTGACTTCTATATTATTATGTGCGTCCGTGTATAGAACACTCGTAGTCGACGATTATGTGAGGTGCACGCCCGGCCGACGAATGATTGATCCCCCCGAACAGCTATCGGCAATATGGGCGTGCAATTAAATATATTATTTTGTTTTTTCTTTCGGTTTAGTCGAAACATCAACTACAGTAATGCCGTGAAAACGGTAGTGCTCGTCGCGTGTGTTTATCTCCAAATCACGACGAATGGGGTAACTAGGTATCCGGTTAGCGGACACAGGCACGTGGTTTATCGTTTATTTAACACTGGTTTAATATGACGTGTATTTTTTGTCAGTTGATTCAATAATTTATTTATTGATTTTTTTTCTCCGTGCATCGTTATATTATCCAAACGGACCAAACGTCCCCGACTTCCGTTTTGAAAACGCGCGACGACCGGATGAGTTGTGAAACGGTCAAAAAATAAAAATAATATATTATGTTTTGACGTCGTWACGTTTCTATCCACTGTAAAAATGTTAAACATCTGACACGATCATTTTTAATAATATTCATGAATCAATAGTGCCGAAGATTTTCCGAAGTTTAGTTTACCAAACACACACGAGGATGACCTCATCTGAAGTAGTTAAATTCCACCCCTAAATTCTTAGGTTGAATTAAAAAAATATCCATTTGCGCACACTTAATCAACTGATATGAAAAACATATTAATAAGTATTAAAATAGGTATGTTTTGTTTAAAATATTATTTATGGTGCAAACTACGCTCATTAAGGGTAACTCCCTTTCATACTACTATATTTTAATGCAAATGATGAATTGATGAARTAATATTTTTCGCCGTTTCCTATATAAAGTGGTTTGAAATCAATAATMAGTTTACCTATTTTCGATAACTTTTTACTACCCGCCTGTGTAACTGTGTAATGGTATTCCTTAAGAAGATATATTTGGACATTTTTAAATAATTGGATATTTTTACATACTCGCAGCAGTGAATATTATTTAAGTTTGATCATGTAAGTTCCCCTAATATTTAAACTAACAACACGAAATTGAAACTGTTTAACTCAAATTTAATATGTTGTACATTTGTTATTAAAGGATACAGTGACAAACGACAATATATAAAAGTAAGAAATTAGGTATTGTATTAAAATATAGAAAATCTTTATTATAATTTGTGATATTTTTTGACAAAATATCATAAAATGTTTAATATATTATATTGTATTGACAGTTTTGGGTCAACTTCTAATTATTAGTTAAAACAGTGTTTGAAATACAAATTAACATATTCTGGAGTTCGTTTCAAAGTTATAATAATTGGGAAGATCGATAAAACTAGTTTAAACTATAAAACGTAGTGACATAAATTAAGTGACATCATCACTGGGCCAAGGTCCAACTAAGTTAACTCTTCTGGTACTTATCAACTCTAAGTGCAAACGAATACTGTTCTTGAATTGCATGTCATGGATAATATCACCAYATCGAAGGAAGGATGTGACAAATTCTAAGGGAGTTACACAACATACTGTTGCGTAAATCCAAAAAATAGGCAGTTGGTTGGAATGTCGAAAAGAAAAAATCGATAATTTAGTAAAAAAATGTATAATCTTCCCTCAGGTTTATTGCAACTGGTTTCCACATTTTTCAATTAAACGATCGTATGCAATATCATTCTCCCCGATATTATGCCAAAAATAAAAACTCGAATAACTCGTTTCAAAATCCGGGACGATAAAAAGTCACCGCCATCCGAGATGACCGGGTTTACATTTTACCTGTCAGGTAATAATATTATCTAAGACTATACCGAAAATCGCTGCRTAGCYCTATGGTCAATCATATTCTTCRCAGTTCTAAATATCTCATAGGCAGTAATATAATATTGTAATACACGCATGCGCAATATGACACGCTCACTAAAGTGTTTTAACTCTTGAAAGCAGTGCCAGATACAATCAATAGTGGTTTCAATAAATGCAYACCGTTGAAAATAAGAAAYGTTCGTCCGTTATATAACCACATGTCTGGAGTTAAATGTAATATATGTTCAATCAAAGTAGGTAGCTAGCTGGCGTAAACATATGCCACAATGAGTTATCGGTTTTGATTATAAATTTACATACGGGATTTATCATCAGTGGGCATACTTGTATAAACCCAACGAAACATAATATTATAATAATAATAAGAAGAAGAATCGTGTACGCTGTTCGGCATAATATTATATATGATATATTTGAACTGGACGTGGTCCAAAAGTCCAGCTGTTCTCGCAYCACTGACCACGGTATAGCTAGGTAATAATAATAATGAAAAAAACAAACTCCGTCTATTAAACACGGTATTGGCGTACATAGCTTGTCGTCCAGTRTATTACGATACACTTGTAATCGTCGGAGCTAATCGTGTCAACGATACATCCGTGATGAATTATGGGTTTAAGTAATATATATATATGATATTATATATTATAATATTTTATTTGTCTGCTCACCTAGGGAAGTTGGCACGCAGAGTTTAAAACGGTTTCGATATTATTAGTTTTGTATTTTTGTTTTCTAGCTAATATGAAACAAACCTTACTAACATTAATATGTTTGGATAACTTTTACAAAATGGTATCTTTAAAACAATGTGAGTGCGTCGCATTTAAAATTAAAATACAAACCCCGCCACAGACATAAAAATAATAATATGATAATTGTTAATTTTCGTACTTTTGTAGTCGATCGGTTAAATTAATTTACTAATAACACTATAACATGTCTATGATTGACCTAAAACTAAGAAATCATTCAGTACCAAGTCTAAACTAAAATTAAAATGGATTTCTACATTTTTGTATACGATCATATTTTAAATAAATCTTTATAACATTAGTAGGGCCTTATCTATTACAATATAAGTCCCTTGTAAACACATARTATTATACTATTATGTATATTAATTAATAAATCAAACATAAATAATACCAACAGTTAATCAAAACAATTACTATCTATGGTTTTATATATATATATATTACATTATAGGTATTATATACCACCATTATCAAAATGTTAAGGTTTATATTTAGATTATATTTAATAGTTTATTTGATCTATGATGATTATTTAAATAAGTGTTATTTAACACTTATCTAGATAATTAAAATGTGAATACCTAGTTAAAACATAATTATATTATGTGTTTATTTTTATGTCCTAAAGCCTTCAATCCCTTCTTGCATATTCGATCACATCTCTAATTATTTACTTAAAATTATATAGTGTGGTATTGTAATAATATTGAATCAATTTAAGGGCTGTAAATTCGTATTAATAAGAAATGTTCACTATTTTTCAGCCGAATCATCATGAACAGATTCTCCCAAATGTCGTTTGTACTGTTGGCAGTGGCAATGTGCCACGTTTATGGTCAACTTCAGACCAGTACACCTTGTTCRCTGTCGTTCTACCGGTACCTGTTCAACTTGCCCGGTGAGAAGATACGACCTAACGTACCAGAAGGCACGTACATGTTCGGCAAGCGAGTAGGCCCGGCCACACCGGAAGGTCAAGCCTCAGATGTCAAGCCATCCGTCATTAAACCTGAACCGTCGTATGAAGCTCCTTCCTACCTTCCACCACCAACCACCACAACCACGACCACCACACTGAAACCGTCCACGTCGGCACCATTGTACATACCACCACAACCACAAATCCCTTACTACCCGGCYGAATCTATCAACACAGTGTCAGTGGTGAAGACTGCCAAACCGGAATGCGACCACCCCGAACACTTGCACGTCGTTGACACCGGACTCTTGCCACCATACCAGACGCCCAAGTTCCAGCCACAGCCCACATTCCAACCACAACCCACATTCCAGCCACAACCCACATTCCAGCCGCAGCCCACGTTCTTCGTGCCACGTTTCGCTCCCTCACCCAAGCCCCAGGTACAAGTAGCCATTAGAGACAACGAGATATTCCCTGAACAACGGAAACCCGTGGCCGTGCAAAGGTTCGCCGTGCCCACTCCACCCCCGCAGTTCCTCCGACCATACATCGCACCGGCACCAGCTGCAGCCCCGGCCGAGAACTGTGACAAACACGTTCACGTATCAAGCACTACCACAACCACCACAACTACCACCACAACTCCAGAGCCCAGCACCGAAGGATTGTTGGAGACTCGTCAGAACGAGATATCTATCTTGCCGGATACCAAGCCGGACTGTGGCCACAAGCACCATAACGTTGTTGTTGAGTCCCTAGGAGTGCCATCCACTGACTACGGCGTGGTCTCGGCGCCTGCTCCCATCCCATCTGCGTCTGCCGGATATTCATATGACCGGCCCAGTGAACCTCTAGCGTATCCGTCATCCGGTTACACTTACCCCAAGGCCAGTCCGTCATTTGAGTATCCAGGTGCGTTTTCAGCACAGGGCACCGCACTGTTTGAGTCCGAATCGCCTAAGGCGTCTGCCAGTGGTACCGAAGACGGTGACCTAGTCATCCTCAAGGTCTAGAACATCCTAACATCTTTGTGTGGAACAGAAATAAAAAAAAAACATAAAAATGTATAATAACACACTTCGCAAACGCATAGCACATATTTGTGTGTATGTGTGTGTGTGTGTTTGTGTGCCTACGTGACGCCTCCTTAGTGTGTTAGCCAACCGAAAAAATTGGCAATTTAACGCCGTTACCAATTAGAATATTATATCATTATCATATTATAATTAGAATATTAGCATAATTAGTATATAGTTTTGTATACTAAATATGCGCCCACTCGCAATTTAGATAATCAAGAAATAATTATATTATATTGTTACCATTAGATTTTAAATTAAAATAATGTAGAACATTACTATTTGATATAAAATTATATTATTGTTTGATGTTTTAAAAAAAAAAAAATTTAAATTTATTTTCATTTTAATGTATAATTAATCACATAAACTGAATGTATCATTTTTTTTTTTTTTGTTCATTATTTTAATTTAATTTTATAAAATACTATATTTTAGTAAAGTTTTTTAAGTATGAATTAAATCATTTTATTTTTCCTTAAATGGCTTTACATCCAATTTAAATATAATGGATTTATATAATGTGTTAGTACCATATAGTATATAGTATATATATATATACGTACCTAAGCTAAACAATTTCAAAATCAAAATTTCAAGAATCTTTTTCAACTAGAAGTTGTTTATATTTTATTTTTTTAATGAATAGAATTATTTGTTTATATAGTAAGTTACAAAAAACTTTAAAACAAATAGATTTTATAAGAGCTATAGACAGCGCGTAGGTATGAACAAATGTATGGAACAAACTTGTAATTAGATAGTTAATTTTATACCAACTACCTTTGGTACAGGTAAGTGGAGTTCTAATAAATAGTATTAACAATTTCAATGCAATAATAATCTTAACATGAGATCCCTACATGAAATAAAAATGTTTATTAACAATACTAATCAAACATACAGTACTTAATGATTATAAATTAATGTGGCAATTGTAATTTATTCTGCATATGTGAAACAGTATTTGATAGTAAAAAGTCCAAAATTCTGTGTCAGTTTTATACAAACTATTTTATTATACATTTTAGTCTGATTGTTTTATTTTATGGATATAGTACGTGTTTCAAACAATTTAAAATATAATATACATTATACAATGTTAAAAATAAACTGTTTTAAATAATGATTAAAAAATWAAAATATATTATTTTTCAAAACCGCTTTCGATTACCAAAAACCTTATCAACGGTTTTTAAACGGTTATCGATTAACTTAATATCAGAATTAAACGATAACCGTTTGCCAGTTTTTATAAAAGGTTAGCATCTATACCGAATCCGATTACTAAGTTTATTGGGAATAGTTTTAAGCAGCGTTTACAGTTGTTAGATAAGTACAGGAAAATAAAATTAAAATTTGAAAAAAAACCATTCTTGAAACCGACAAATTTTAAAATCTTTTTTTGAAACTGAAACATAAACTAAAATAAAATTTAAAAAACGATCTTAAAATCTAAAACAAAACCAGAAAATGTAGAAAACCGTAACCGTTAAAATTTGAAACGGCTTTGATCCCTGTTAGCAAATGAATCGTCAATTAGTGATTTTTATTTTTAACAATATACATGGGRCAAAATCAAAATTATCATGCACTTGTTTTCTAAAATTAMAATGTRTAACTCAATAATGATGAGGATTTTATATTTGAACGGCAATTGTACAATTTGTCCTCTTAAGGGTATTCCAAATGAGACACTGAATTGCAAGAATACTAATAATAATGCCATGTTTACAATATACACAAGAGTACAAGACCGTTAATCGTTATGATGTATAATTAGTTAAAATAGTTAAAATGATGTCAGTACATCTTTTTCTCTCTCTTTGATCTACGTGTAACATGGCAAATTTTACATAACACTAATGTTTATAACCATAATAACTTTTAAAATTAGAGTGAAATGTCTTATACAAGCAGTGCTCGACTTGACAAAAGTAAAGTAGGGGGACT